TTTACATCATATTTATTGTCAACTACAGTCTGCGACTATCCCTGCCAATCCCAATATCTTAACATACATATGGTAGAGAGTGGATACAATATTTACCTTGCAAATATTTTAGATAGACTAAGTTTATCCAGTTTGATCACAAAATAAACAACAAACTAAACTATAAACAAATGTACAACATTCAAGGGAGTTGTCTCAAACCATGCAGTATACCATGCTATTACAATTTAATTCATACATACATGTACACTAAACATGTATTATAATGATATTAAAAATCTTATATTAAAAATCTCACCTCAAGCGCTGACAATGAATTAAAGTTTTTAATATCTTCAGTGACATTTCTTTGATTTCATTAGATGATAGATCTAGTCTAGTCAGTTCAACCTGGTCCCACCATCTCTCATCAACATCAAATGAAGCAGTACTACCATCAGGAGGATCAATATTGAGTCTCCACAGTTTAGGAGGAATAACACTCAGTAATGCCCCAGTAATAGAGGATATGCGTGCTAAGTATATTCATAGCTTTTAAGTACCGTATATCCAACCCACACAGTAAATTGGCCGCCATGTTGGACGTCAAGTTTATTAAGAGTTCAATGGGGGAAAACACATTTTCTTGCCTTGCTACCTTCTTGAGGCCTTTTTCGGAAGCTCAGAAAGCATCCTGAGGATCTAATGGGGTCTAGTAGTCACCTGAAAGATTGCTATCAAGAAATACGGAGCGGTTTTCTGGTACCAAGCCTTTTTCTATCTTTTCTCCATTGCTGCCAATGGAAAGTTGACGTCCAACGAACTAATTTTTTTTCTTGAAAGTTATTACGGTATGCAATGAATACATTTATTTTGCAATGAATATACTTAGCACGCATATCCTCTATTATAGACATTCACCCACTAACTTTCATACATCCACTTGTTCATTAACAGGTCATAAAAATGAAAATCAAAAAATCATTTAGATCATATTTGGTAAAATAAAAAACATGTTACAAGTGTCACACAGCCTCCTACCTGTTTGACTGGTTCAGTGAACCGGTTTTACGAGCTTGTTTCAATAAGGATTCTGGTACAGTCCCCTCCTTACCTACCCCATCACTTTGACTAGGAGAAGTGAAGAAGTTTGGATTTGGCTTGAGTCTAGTAGACTGAACCAGCAGATTTTCTACTGGCACCACGACTGGAACTCATTTTGATTTTATGAATTTGGACAGATGGGTGTGGTCTTATCTTGCATAGTATAGTAGTTAGGGCGTAACTCTAATATCTATGGTTAGGGTGGGGCTGGTATTTGCAAGAATGGCATCTAAAAGTGAGTGCCACTATT